CCAACCCCTCATTATATTTATACTTAACTTAAAGGATGAGATATTACAAGGATGCCCTTAGTAGGGCGGCTACTAATGTAGTTGAACAGTCACAACTTAAAAAATAAACTAATGGGCCTAAAGCCCAACAACTTCCTAACTAAATAGCTTAAAATAAGAATAAAAAAACAACTAGGCCCAACTCAACAGTGGTTAAAAGGAAGGGAGGATTGGGCATAGGTAACATTAGTAGGAAAAAACTCGCTCTTCTAAGTATGTGATTGTGGTGTTTCCCTTTAGAGAATGACAGATCGTGGCATAAAGTGGTCTCAAGTACTCATGGGCTGGCTAGGAATGGATGGGATGTTGGCATTTTGCAAAGAGCTAACCTTGTTACACCGTGGAAAGCAGTGCAAGGTTTATTGCCCCAATTTCTTGAGCACGTCAAGTATAACTTGGCTTCTGGTAATAGGATAAGATTTTGGGAAGATGTGTGGGTTGGGGATGTTGCCTTGAAAGATTTGTTTCTTTCATTGTATGCTCTCTCTAATCTAAAGGAGAAACCCGTGTGATTTCTTTGGGTCTCCCTCCTCCTCTAAGGGGCGAGGGGCTGGAATTTGGGGCTTGTGAGAAACCATTGAGAGTCAAAAATTCCATCTGTTTCAAACCTTTTAAATATTTTGGATGGCCTTGTCCTTGATGGTTTAGGAGAAGATAGTAGGGTGTGGTCTCTCAATCCCTCTAGGTCTTTTAATTGTAAATCTTTTTTTCTTCTCTTGTGTCCACTCACATTCCCCTTTCCTTTCCTGTCAAAGAAATTTGGAGTTCCCCTATCCCCTTGAAAGTCAGTGCCATTTGTTGGGAAGTTTATCATGGTGCATCAACACATGCAGTATGCTACAAAAAGAAAAGGCTGAATTGGGGCTTGTCTCCTAATTGGTGCATCTTGTGTAAGGTGAACAATGAAAATGCTTTCCATTTTTTAATTTCATGTCCCTTTGCTTGTTGTATTTGGGAATGGTTTTTCTCTCATTTTGCTTGCAGGTCGAGTCCCCTGGTAGCTTGGAAGGTCTCTTTAGTCCATCTCCTCTGAGGAGCAAGATGAGAAGAGGCAAAGTCCTTTGGAAGTGTGCAAGGGCAGCGGTGGTGTGGTCAGTTTGGGAGGAAAGGAACCTAAGAATCTTTGAAGAGAGAGAAAGAAATAAGAAGGCACTAGTGGAGATTGTTACAGTAAGAGCTGCACATTGGGTGAAAACTCTGAAAGCTTTCTCAGACTTCTCAATGGATGATATCTTCCGGAACTGGAGGTCGATTGCCCTCTCCTCTTCTAGGAAACAAAAGGTCTTGGAGACCTGGAGCCCCCCAAGTTGTGGGTGGATGAAGCTGAACTTGATGGAAGTAGCTTTGGCAATCCTGGGCCTTCCTGTATTGGTGGAGTGTTTAGAGATGAGAATGGGAATATATGTGGCTTGTATTCGGTCCTATTGACCAAGGTGACTCAGTTAGAGCTGAACTTCTGGCTGCTATTCTTGGGGTGCAAAAAGCCAAGGATATGGGAATTACTAAGTTGATTCTTGAAGGGGACTCATAAGTAGTTTTTGGCCGGTTGAAAAAAGGAGAAGGGATTATATGGAAATTCAGAAATGATTTCAGAAGATACAAGATGATCTCAAGAAATGTGCAAATCCATGTAAAATGGGTTAGGAAGTCTGCAAATGGATTGGCAGATGGTTTGGCTAAGTAAGGAACTCATAGACAGCATTTGTTTTGGGCTCAATGTTAAAATGTGTGGGGGGATCTTTGTTATAAAGGGTCTTTGACCTAACAACTTCTTGTACATTTTTGTTCCTTAATCTTAATAAAATTTTCTTGAGTTGCTGATCAAAAAAATAAAAATAATAACAAAGAGATAGAAAGGGACCTGTGATTGTCTCCACAGCTGAATGGTATTCCCTCAGCACAGACGCACATTTTTCCACAGCAAAACGCATGTACTCATCTCGGAGTGCTTCCACTTTGGGTGCAAGCTGCAAATAATCAGCCAAGGAACCTAAGTTAGCAATATATCAGTTGAAAACAGACCTGCCTGCAAATATGAAGTATAGTTTAATTAAACTGTTGGGCTCCAAATACCAACAACCTACATTTGGTACAAGATCACTTTGGTTCCTATAAAATCCTTTCCCAAGTGCTGTCATCCCTGTCTGCAGAATCAAAAATTCTGCACGCCTTGAAGCTTCTGATGTAGCCGTTGCAGAAATCCAACACAAGTTATCAACCCCAAACATCTCCTCCTCAATTACTCTAGCTGAAGACAGAAGCTATTAGTAAACCATAAGAGAGTATTAAAAACAGGGGATGTTTCAGCATTACTGAATCACAAATAAATGATATAACAAAAAAGTATATTTCACTAGTCACTAACAAATAAAGAATTAAAAACACTGTTCAATAAAGAAAGGATACACATTAAAAATGAATTAGTACATAAAGGTATATTGCACATTTAAGATTAATTTCTGGTCACTATTTTGCACATTTTGCACATTTAAGATTAATTTCTGGTCCAAAATTCACATCATCACATAGATCATAGATAATCAATTTTATTAGATGTGAAAAAGAATGTAGTACTGTTGGTGAAAAAAATGGAAGAATTTATCACACAACAAAATTCACCCAATTAGACTAGTACTGGGCTTTTAGCATTTGAATTTCCAATATATTTGAACTGATTCACTAATAAAAGGGCTAGGACCAAGATTGTCTTGTATTCAAATTATATATACATTTGTAACCATGGAAAAAATGCCAAGCTTATACCTATGACAATAATTTCATACATAGATAATAGTAAAATGATTAACTGAAAATTTTTCCATAAGATGAAATACTAAAGCACTTGTTGACTTACGTGCACATGCACGCACAATAGCATTTACGTAATCTGATCTCCTTGAGAAAACCCTTCCTGAAGTTTCAGCATAGCACATATTTGGTTGTCTACGGATGGAATGAATATCTGTCTGTAATAGATAAAACTAATACTTGAGCTTACCTCCTATATGACTATAATTTGGAGTGAAAACCAAAATTAAAGACAAAAATAAAACTCAAGGCTAAGAATAGAAATAAAAATTCGTACAGATGAAACATTACTCCATTCACCTCTATGAAAGGGCGGTAAGGATCTGGATAGTAACATGCAAGAACAGCCACAGCTGCCTCTCGGTATGCCAACCTCAGCTTTAATTCTTCTGGAACTTCAGTGCTATCTTCTTGGCCTGTTTCAAATGTGCCTTTTTGCTGAAAAGAATATGTCAGGAAACATGAGAAACAAGTATGAGAAGAGCTAAACTTAAATAAAGAATATCAGTCAATGTCCATGTTCACAGAAAAAGCAACAGAGAACATACCCTCTTCAAAGCCTCTAAAAGTTCCTCCCTTCCAATGTAATCTAAATCCTTTCTGGCAGTCAAAATTCCAGCTTCGTTCCTGCCATACAATTAAAAAATGTCAAGACTACTTATTCTGGTATATAGTTTAATTGAAGGATTAGTTAACAATTACAATATGTTTTGCAGTTCTGCTCCAGTAAAATCTACTGTAAGCTCTGCTATTTCCTGGAGGAGAGTCTCTTTTTCCTCTTCAGAGCGAAAGAATTTATTCCTAGCATGCACCTGTCATGGGCACATAATAACAATCTTAATAAAAAAAATCACAACTGAAAGTTCAAATTTTGTCAAATGGATAAAACTTCAATACATCATATTCATACCTTTAATATGGCCAATCTTCCATCCTTAGATGGCAAACCAACCCTAATAATCTTGTCAAAACGGCCTTTCCTCAAAAGAGCAGGATCAAGAATATCCAATCTATTTGTTGCACCTATAACTAGTACCTGACAAGTTCAACTTTAACAATAAAATTTCAAAATATCTTCCCCACTTAACAGAAAAATTCAAAGAATACCTGTGATGTTGAAACTTTAAACCCATCCATTTCAGTTAGTATCTGAAGCAGCCCCTGCTCCCTTTCAGCACCACCCTACAATCAAAAATTACATGTATGCTGCCTTAGTTGTCAGAGATTCAAAGGAGAGAATGTACAACTAGTTTGTTTCATAAGAACAAGTCCTGGACTCATAACTATGGCTGTTCATGTTGTTACTGATCAAAAAAGAAAAACTATTGGTGTCATGCAGTATAACATTATTATACTATTTAAGGTTTGATTTTGTGGTGAGTAGGAGACTACAAGTATAAAGCCCAACCTGGCATCGGTGGAAATAGTTTCTTTTAAACAGATCCAATTTGCATTATATTCAATCCTATTTTTTGCTTCTGCAGAATGAAAAACTTCAAATAGAGTAGATGGGGGTGAATGGGTATTTTAAATGTTTGTGTGTCTGTGTGCGTGAGAGAGAAAGAGAGAGAGGGCATAGTAAGTTGGAAATCTCATCTTGCTCACTAGAAGAACAAATGGGCTTGTCACATTTTTTGTCAGATTATAGAGACTGTTGTTGTTATAGAAAATTCTTTCATGAGAAGCCTCCTTACATATATAAAACTAAGAGTGTCAATGGACCGGTTTTGGATTGGACCCCGTCCAGTCGAAAATCAATTTGGATAGATTGGACGGACCAACAAGACATTGAATTGGACCAATCCAGTCCAAAATATTTATTAGATTGGATTGGACCTGGTCTTTCCATAATAAATTTATATTGGACTGAGCTGAATTAAGCCAATATCTGGTCCATCGATATAAGATAAGAATATAGGTATCAATGGACCGAGTTTGGGTTAAAACCAATCTAAATTAAAACAAATTTGAACAGATTGGATGGTCCAGACATTGAATTGGACCGGTCCAAAATGGTCCAATATATTTATTCGATTGGATTGGACCTGGGCCATTTGTAATGAACTCACATTGGACTGGATCAGATTGGACCAAATCCAGTCAAATTGACACCCCTATATAAAACAAACTAAAGGCATTTAAAACCTCCTCTTTCTTTTCTACAAACTACAAAGGGAATGGCACCATTACAGACAATAAGAATGGGAAAAAAACTGTCCCATCTTACCCCACCAATATCAGGACCTCCTCGTTTGCTACCAATTGCATCAATCTCATCAATAAAAATAATAGATGGTGCAAATGATCTTGCACTAGCAAAAAGATCTTTGACACGAGCTGCTGCAACACCCACAAACATCTGCAAAAGTAAATAAGTTTGACTAAAAAATCCAATGGCTTTAAGGCAATATATAAGGGCAAAGAATACAGAAAGAAATTGCAGTCAAAACTCAAATAAAGATGAGGTTTTATTTTGATAAATACGGCCATAAATGCCATGAAACTCAGTTTTGATGGATATTCATTGAGTAAACCTAGTCCTTTGTCTTTTCTTTTTTCTTTTCTTTTCTTTTTTTTTTTTTTTGTGGGGGGGGGGGAGGAATGGAGATGATCAATCAGATGGTGTGGTTTCCTTACTCCAGCTATCAGGGCTACAAGGGACTCATCATTAAAAGGAGACTCCCAGATTGACATTGACTGGGTCAGAAAGAGAGAAAGTGAAAAGGTATTGGAAGCAAAGTTCAAAATTTCGATATGCCCCAATATGGTGGAAGGGGTGTATCAGGATTTTGAACCTTGGGCTTCTTAACTTTTTTTTTAGTTTTTTGGTTGGGGGTGGGGGGCAATACATATCGGCCAATACATAATGAAATTTTGAACCTTAATTGGAAACCTATTTATCATATCAGAAAGTTTGAAGCTTTAATGCAAGCAACCCCTTGTTTGGATGGGTTCCGATCTATCAATTCAATAGCTTACAGCTCAACAAGAGGGGAATGATGAGAAGATAGTTCTATTGGAGCACCAATGTGCCAAGACAATTGTAGTTTTTTATTTGGTGTGTCTGGAAAGGTTATCATCGAAATTTGAACTTCATTCCATTCCACATATTCAATACAGCATCAGAAATCAGAATCTACTTAAATTTTGGTCCAACTCTTGGTGGAGTATTAACAAGATAAGCATTTTATACCCTAGACTCCACCTTTTATCCCTTGATTTGTATGAGCCTGGAATCTGAACTTTCATAGAGACCTTCATGGATCCAAGCCAGAGGAGATCAGTTCCCTCCTTTTACACCTCAAGGACATTTTTATCTCCCCTGCTTTACCAGACAACCAATTTGGTCACCTTCCCTCCCATTTTTTAACAGCCAACCCCTTTGTCCACACCATTTGCAGCTAATCTGAATGAAAGTGCTTTCCCAAAGAAGCAATTTTTATTTTATGGAACCTTGCCAAAGAAAAGATTGTTTATGGGTCTTTCCCAAAGAAAAGATTGTAGCACTCCTATGTCCTGCCTAGGATTTCCTTCTTTATTTGGGAAGCTATTTGGGGGCATTAATACTTGCAATGTACTATAAATAAAAATCATCTATAGGTCTTACATCTCCTTAGATGATATTGTAAGGGCAAACCCATGAAGGCAGTTTATACCAGATTCTTATCTGTACATAGAGGCACCACTATACTTCCTTGCTTCTTCATACAGGACATTACTTCTCTGTGTGCTTATCCTCCCTCACTCATCTCATCATTATAGAACCCATCATTACATGAAAATCTGTTCTCACCTCTACAAAATCAGTGCCACTAGCTGCAAAGAAAGGAAGTCCTGATTCTCCAGCAATAGCTTTAGCCAGCAGTGTTTTACCAGTCCCAGGAGGCCCATGGAGAAGAACACCTTTTGGGCAATAGATGCCTTTGTTTTGAAACTCTTCATCATTCTTTAATATTCGCACAATCTCCTGTAATTCCCTTTTTATGTATTCCTGTCCAGCAAAATCATCAAACGTGACACCAGTGGTTTCCTCTGCTGATATGAATTTGGCCCTGCTCAGATGGTAAGAAATAAAGATATAGGACAAAAGTTAGACTGACTTGCCGAAATTGCTTTTTACAACAGTTAGACTTGCAAAAATATCCAACATGGAGTACCCAGAGGCATGCACCATATATAGAAAAATTAAATATGCGAGCAAACTGTTCACAGCTTAGGAAAAATATAGTTCAAATTCCACGAAAGTACAAAATAGAATATGGAATATGCAAAGGGTTAAACAATCTTAGACTTACCATGCCAATGAAAACCAACAAAGGTTAAGGCATGTATAAGGAACCACAAACATTAAACCCATAAAACATGGTCAATCTACAGTTGTGACAAGCCTCAAAGGCTAAGAGAAACAAATATGTCACACCATTAAGAATATCCATGTAGAAAGTTTCCAAACTTAATGTTACAAGAGAATTTATAAAGGAATACCATGCAACTAGAGATGAACATAATATACATTTCAACACTAAAGATATTTGAGGTCTTAGTCAAAGCAGCCCATAAAACCTGGAATAGCACTCTGGAGTCTGGTAATCAAAACCCATGTTAAACTTTGATAAAGAGCCATTACCCAATGTTAGCCCCAGCTATCCAGTGGGAGAGGTAGACTGGATACAGATCTAACCTTCAGCATTTGACAAAGTGACCACTCTCATACTCTAACCCACATTCTCAAACTTGTCAGCCCACCATAATTGGAAACCCAGGGTCATTGGAAATAGGAGGAATGTTTAGAGGCAGTTCAGGCTCCATTACTGCAATCTACTCAGGCCCCATAGAAGAGGGTGATTCCACAAGGGCAGAACTGCTAGCAGTCCTCCAAGGATTGAAGATTGGCAAGAGATAACATGCAGAATACAGTGGTCAAAGGAGACTCAGAAACAGTAGTTAGGTGGCTAAAGAAGGATTATAGTGGAACATAGCAGCATAGACACACCTTGAGGGAAGTCAAGAAGCTTGCTATGAGGGGCTGTAGTGGCTTGCAAGGGGACTGAGAACATAGAGGCATCTGCAGTGAAGTGAGTTGGAGCCTAGAAATGGGAAAGTAGTGGGAGTTTCTAAGTGAGATCTATTGAAAGGAACCTAAGAACCCCAAGAAGCACAATTTTTCCCAGAAAGTTGATTTGGATGTGGCTGGTTTCATCTAAGGTTGGTTTTCTGCTGTGGTCTACTTCTCTTGGGAAGTGCCTAGCTAAGGGCAATCTGCTCAGGAGAGGCTTGCAGTTGCAGGACTATTTTTGTGGTTTTAGTGGGCAGGATATGGAGAGGGTTGGTCATCTTTTTGTTTACTGCCAGGAAGAAAATGGCCTTTGGCTGCATTATGTGACAGCTGCAAACCTGAAGTGGGCTATGCTTAGGTCCCTGCGTGAGTTGTTGTTAGCCTGACCTCTCCAGGGTCTGACCATCTGAGTGCCAAAGGTAAGTTGATTTGGGAGATGGCTCCTGCAACAACTGTATGGACCTTATGGTCAGAAAGGAACAAGGTTCAAAATTTCACAACATATTGGGCCGTATCAGATGATACGTGTCATTCCAGCACATGTCCAATACATGAAATGTGTAGAAATCATCTGTTTCATTCCTTTTCGTATGTATTGAACAGATACGGGCCTGTATCGGACTGTTTCAGGACTGTATCAGCCAATACGGGCCCGAAACAGTCTGATACAGCCCCAATACACTAAATTCGTTTTGGGTCCCCTTCTCTCGTTAAACTATATTTAAGGCCAAATTCTCTCTCATTAATTTCATTAATCACTCCTATATTTAAGTGTAGTTTCTCTCTCATTAATTAGTTAACTACTCCTATAATTTAAGGCATAATTTTAAATTTGAATTTGAATTTTAGCGCTTAAGTGGAATTTTCTCTCATTAATTTTGTTAATTAATGAATTTATCAAAGAAAAAAGTTGTTAATTAATGATTCTCTCTTTCATTAACTTCTTTTGTTAGTATAAAAACTATGAAAGTTAACAATAGTAAGATTTGAAACTTGGTCATTAGGTATTAATGACCATAAGTTCACCACTAGGCCACACCCAATTGTTTGCTATGGTTATATGCATTTTTTTATTTTTAAGCAAATTGTCTCTTTTTCTTAGTGGATGCTTCTCAATAAATGTTAGAATTAATTATTAAAACATATATTAATAAATGGATGTTAGAATTAATTATTAAAATTTATATATTAATAAATAGAGACAAATTGTATTGATTATTTTAAAATTAATGTATATACATACACATTTTAGTTTTTTCTTTGTTTTTTTCACATTTTAGTGATTCCCATCATTTTGCAACCATTATTAATTGTGTCCCAATATTTAGAACTTTATATAAATTATTAAATTATGGTTTTTTTACATTGAAATAACATATTTACAATCATATAAAACTTGTAATTATTGTTATTAATATATTTATTTAGGATTTATTTGAGTTTCTTAGCATATTTATGTGTATCTTGATTTTTCGTCCATATCCAAAGCGTATCTCGATATGTCTCTTAAATTTGTCTTTTTTTTATAACACCTTGTGTTTTTGGTACTTTAAACCTTGGAAAGGAATAGGCAGGCCTTCAACAACATAAATTGGAAGGATGATGAGCTTATGGCTTTGTCTGTTGGAAAAATAGGTTCCTGGACCTTGGCATCAAAAGAGTGCTCTTTCCACTCCTTAGGTTCACTATGGCATAATAAAAATCTGTGGTGTATTTTATGTATCTTTAGTCTGTGGGTTGTGGCTCCTGCACTGGGAGCAACCTTCAGGAAACATGTTGTACTATCATCAATCTTGTTCAATAAAATTACATTATCTTTTCAGAAAAAAAAAAAACAATAAAGGGGTTAACAGGGATATATATATATATATAATATTCTCTAGTTTCTCAAATATGCAATTCTGTTACTTTAGGATTTATATTATGCAATTCATTTACTTAGAAACCTCTGGAGTTGCATGGTTAAAGTTATTCAAAATACTAAATTTTGGTACACTCGCTTATCTAATTGGGATCCATCCAATGGTAATCCTGATTCTCAAAAGATAGCTCTTAGGTTTGGGGACACTGGACCTGAGGAGTGATGATGGGTAAGGACTCCGTAACTTGACACCTTTTGTTTGTCTGAGTGTCGTGGGTGGCATTGTTATTGCCCTTCTATTGCATACAGCTTGTGTACAACCTTTAACAATTATTTACCTTACTATTTTGAAAAAAATAAATAAGCATAATTAAATAATCTTTAACCATTTCATTTGGACATTATTTATAAAGCTTATCTTAACTTTTAGAGAAGCCTTTCTCCACCATCTAATTAAATCTATAAGAGTATATGGTTACAATCGACAATGCCTGCTGATTTTTAGTCCAGCTAATCTACTACAGACCCATCTGACTGGGTGGCTCCCAATGCTCAGAACTTGAAATGTATGGCAAGTTATGGGAATACAGAACATGATTTTGGTGTTATAGAACAACAGAACCCCCCCAACCCCAGCCCCTAAAAGAAAAATTAATAGAAACCATTACTTTAAAGATAGGTCAGTAAATTTGGAGAAAGGAGTAATTAGCCAACACTGACTGTGATGGAGACTTTGATGGCATCTGCAATGCTAGGGTCTTAACAACAACTACTTTTCTTTTTTTTTTTTTCCTTTTTAGTCATCGATACTAGATAGTCTAGATTTAATATCAACAGCTTCAACCATGTAACACTTTAGTCACATAGTTTTCAAGGCGCCAAGGCGAGGCTAGGCAACTGGGGGGCGCCTAGTCGCCTAGGCGGGCACCTAGGCGTCACCTAGGCGATGAATTTTTTTTATGTTAAAAAATAGATCCTAGGGTAGTTCCCTAGGTACCATAACCATATTTCTTTAATAATTATTCATGGTTTTCATAAGAAAAGTATAAATT